ACACAAGAAACTTCTCAGGCACTTTTATGTCCCAGCAGAGCCACAGTGGAGGCTGAGTGGTGTTTACCAGGCGGACAAGTAAGCGCACTCTGGTCACTAACCACCATTTAACTTTTCTTAAAGAACAAAAGGGTTATCTTCCCTCTGGAAGTCTGCCATTAAGAAACGCTGAGTGAGAACAAGACGTAGCTTTGAGCAATGCTTGCCATTTCCTGATTTTTCAGGACAATCTTGCCCTCGAGGAAGAGATCTGGGACTCTCAATCCCCAGGCCCTGCCCACGCTGCAAGCTGCTTGCTGGGCCTGCTCCACAGGCCGAGTGGGCGCTGGCGCGGGAGGGCCCTGCGGCGCTGATGTCAACAGGGGCTTGGCTTACAAAAGAGTTTCAGGTGAGGAAATCACTAGAAGGTGATGCGGGCAACAGCCGGCTCCTTTTTCTTTTTCTTCTTGCAAATTAGCTTCTGATGAATGGTGAGAAGGCATTTTACGGATAACGCACAACCATTTGGGCCATTTTAACTTTGTATTTCACTGTTCCTAAATTACAAGTGGCTTTTCAGGAAGGCCTATTTACTTTTCCACAAAATAATTATTCGGTCTCTTAATCTGTGTATAATGCTTAAGAAAAATGGGTTTTTTAAACCGACCATTTCAAAACACGAATAAATCTACCTAAAAACCGCCTTTCTGATATTTGTTAAAGACAGAGAAGGTCAGTGCATATCACCAGGAGGGAGAGAACCTCCACGTTCCTTCGGGAGGTGAGCCTGTCTCACGGCCGTCCGAGGAGGTGAGGGCCACAGACTAACCCTCCTTGGGCGCCTGCCCTGAGCCCAGGCCCCCTTCTCACTGTTACTACCACCCCAGGTCCTTTCATCAGGCATTTCTACTTCATTTCCACAATTACATTCTGATCTCAACTGTCTACTTTTGCAGGATCCACTGGAGAGTTTGTGAAAGTACAATTAAAGGTATCACGGTTTTATCATGAGCCAGGATTAATGGGTTTAAAAGCTGACAATTAAAACGTGGTCACTTATTACAGTCGGATGGAGGCAGGTCTTGAAGGACACACCCCAACCGATACTCCTGGGGCAGGGAGGCGCGCGCCGGCAGCGTCCACCAGGCTCCCCAGCACCATGACTCACCTCCCAGCCCGCCCTCCCGCCCCCGGATGCCCGCAGTCCAGATGGACGGGAAGAGCTGGAGCACAGGTTCCCTCAGAACCTGCCAAACTGGCCCAAAAGCCTGCTGGGCGCGGCTCCAAAGGGCCCATCCAATCCTGGGATGGGTGCAGGGAGAGGGGACAAGAGGGGCCTTTTTCACAGAAACTCCCAGGTAAATTAGGAGAAATCAGGAAGGTGATGAACCAGGAGCCTCCAGCCCCCCTGCTAGCTACTGGTGTCCATGTGTGTGATCCCAGCAATTACTCGGGCGTGCCCAGGGAGTGAGAGAACCCAACCTCTCCGAGATCGAAGGACACGCTGGAACCCAGGGAGTTTCTGAGGACAGACGCTGGCCTCTGCCACAGTCACTCCTCTCTGGTCCTTCACGCTCAGTGAGTAGCTCAAAATGAATCCCAGCTCAGAAAGGTCAGTGTTCTAAACACCCACCTTTATACCCTCCCAACACCCCCCCAGACAGAAGCTGCGCTTCCCAGACACATGGTGGGGCCCTACCAGACCCCCCCCCACAAGACCCCCAAAGAAGGGGCTCAGCTCCACCCTCTCTGCAACAAGTAGTCTGCAAAACCACCCTCACTCCGACGCAGGCAGACTGACCCGGGCAGACTGACCAGTGCAGTCACTGGTCCCTTCAAAGCCCTCTGCCAAGTGTCACTTACCAGGAAGTGAGTCGAGAGACTGGGACCCTCTCATGGTGCAGAGCCAGCTCACTGGACCCCAAGCCTATCTTTCCTTTTCTGAATAACGGATGGTGACCCTGGAGTAAGATGTGCCGGTGCCCCTCTGCCTCTAAACATTTAGAGGCTTTGTATAGGAAGCACACTCCGGAGAAAAGAGCTCACTGGTTGCTGTGCAGGCCACCGGCAGGCTGGTCCAAGCGTCCAGGGGCCTGTGACCTGCCCATACCTGGGACCCACAGACTCAGGCTGACCCCCAACTTCTACACCCATGCCACGCTAAGGCCAGGCTTAACATTTATCAACGTCTTCCCATTCGTTGATATTTTGCTTTATAATATCAGAGACCAGTAGCAACAATAAGCTCTGAAGTTGCAGAAAGCAAACTTGCCTGTGGCTAGAAAAGCCTCCCTTCCAAAAGCCCAGAGCCCTGGCCGAGAATCCTGGGCCCACATGTTAGGGTCGGGACCCCATGGTGCCATAAGAAGTTTTCCCTGAGGTACGGAATGGTGTGCGTGATGGCCACTCATCCTTCTGTATGGCTCTGGACGTGGAGAGCTCCTGCTTTCCAGGTGAGCAAAGCCTCACTCGGGTCCCATCTCCTTTGGCAACCATTTAGCCCTGGGCCCTGCTTTCTCCCATCAGGCTGGACCAAAGAGGGTCCCTGGAGAAAGCAGGGACACAGATTCCTGTGAAGCTTACAGCTCTCAGATAAACGTTAAAAGTGAAAAACACGTGTGTTAGGATTGTTTGCACTCTGAAAGGGGAACGACCACGTAAGGAGCCAGATCCCCCTGAAGTGATGCGTGTCTGCTGCCGAGCAGACTGTCGGGACTTCTCAGCACAGAGGCAGGCCGCGCCCTCATGCAGAGCTGGGCCTCAGCGTCCGCCTTCAGCACACGCCTGACCCAGCACCTGTCTGCTGCGAAACTCTGGGCAAGTGTCCTGAGCACTGTCCCTTGCTCGTCCTCAATGAAATGGGAAGAACCACAGCCCCTACCCAGACCTCACAGCACGAGACAGTACCAACCTAAACAAGTTTGACTGACCCGTGACTGACGTCAACAATGAGTACGTTTTTTAGTACATTCTCTAGTTACAGAAGAACTTCCAAAAAGTTGAGGGGCAAGAAAGCAGCGGGCAGTGCCTTCCCTCAAGCCAGTTTCCAGTGCAGTGGAGAGCAAGGGCAGCAGGTGGCCAGTGGGGGACAAGGTGCAGGCAGGACCCGGGAGCTGGCAGAGTCTCCCCAAGCAGCCTGGCCCTCGCTGCCCCCTGAGGATCCACCAGCAGCCGCGGGCTTGGGCGAGTGAGGGACGCAGGTGCAGGCAGCCTCCCTCTGCCCCCTGGGCCTCCTGGCCTCAGGCCAGCTGTTCTGCAGGACAGCATCTCCGTAGACCACAGCCCTCTTGCTCCGCCCTGCACTTCCCCAGGTGGACGCAGCTAGGAGGAGCCAGGTCTCTTTATGACTTCCTCGGAAGCACTTTATCTCCCTCAACAGGGATCAGAATCCTCAGGCTCCTCTGGAGGCTTCGCTTTGATGTGAGAGTCAAGATTGAGCGATAGAGGCCCCAGCCGCACATCACAGGCGGTAAACAGGCCTGAGGCCCCTTTCCTGGCCCTCAAATCCTGGAGACAGGGGACATCAGTGAGAACAGAGTGACGCTCCAGTCCCCAATCCCTCTGCACCCACACGGAGGAGCTGCAGGAGCCGAGACCCTGGCTGACCTCTGAGCTTGCCTGCCTGCTGGGCAGGCCGGCAGCTCCTGTGGGCACCCAGGGATGCCTGAGGCAGATGTTAAGACCTGCAGGGTCTCACACACAAACCTCAGGGCGGCACCTCCTCAAGAGCTGTGGGAAGGAGCTTCCACGACCCGAGCACCATTCTGAAATCCGTTTCCTAGTAAAAGTTGCCAGGTAAGTATTTCGCCTGTGACTAACACAGAGGCTGCCACCGCACTCAGTGCCCCTCCCCAGCTACTTAAACCACAAGAGGTGGAGACCTGACATTCTTCAAATCAAAGAAACTTATTTCAGTCCAAGGACAGAGTAACAAATCAGAGTACAAAAATTAACTTAAAAATCCACTCTACTGGGAACACATCTATTTTGAACTTTTCCCAAGCAAAAAAACATCAGATCCAGAAAGTGGGGCATGACGTCACAGGTGCCAAGACGCCTTCCGGAGGCTCAGCTGGGCACACACAGCAGAAGTCCTAGGGCCGAGGAGGCTGGACGTGCGCTCAGGAGCCTGGGCATGCTGCAGTCCACACAGGGTTCTGGTGTTTTAGTTCTTTCATCAGGAAACCAGAGAAAATATATTGTCCCTACCTCACAACCTCTAGAGTGCTGATTTTCGTTCCAAAGGCACTAACAATGAAGCATGCTAATAAATATTGCCTCAAGTGAATTTCAAGGGCAAGTCCATAAAAATTTGAAAATTAAGGCTGGACAAAACGCAGCCCCCTCAATAAAAGCAGCTTCTTCTTGCTGTGCTGCTGAGCCTTCCCTAGGAACTCCTTCCAAGGTGAAGGCTATGGCAGTGAAGTTCCAGAATGTCTCTCAATAGAACACACACATACACGCTCAGAAGCACAGCTGACGTGATCGAGTCACAAGCTCCCCTCCTGTGCTTCTTCCACATCATCCAAAACACCGATCCCCTTTATCTAAGGATCTGCTAGCCACAGGCCAGCCAAAGCCTCTAGAACATTCCTCCTAAACACCCACAAAAAAGGAACCCCAGGGCGCCTGGGTGGCTCAGTTGGTTAAGCGACTGCCTTCGGCTCAGGTCATGATCCCGGAGTCCAGGAATCGAGTCCCGCATCAGGCTCCCTGCTCAGCGAGGAGCCTGCTTCTCCCTCTGACCCTCCCCCCTCTCATGTGCTCTCTCTCTCTCTCATTCTCGCTCTCTCAAAATAAAATAAATATTTTAAAAAAAAAAAAAAAAGGAACTCCACTCTTGAGCTGCTTCTTTTCTATATATCACCCTTAAAATTATACTATCAGCTCGCTAACACCTGTTTCTTATGGGAAAAGTGCCCCACTGGCTGCTTCTCGTGCACAGTGCTGTCAGGAGGCTATGATCCCAGGGAAAACCCCAGAGGCGCATCTGACCCCACCACAACTCTGACAGACTTTACCTGGAAATGGCGGCCACAAAGGGCTGCAGCTCCTGGGGCTCATAGGCACGCGCGAAGGCCCAGCACACGTAGCAGGCGGCGTCTCTAACATTGGTGCCCACGCTGCAGGAGCCCCGCTTCTCCTCATAGGTCAGCGCCTTCAGGATCACGGGGACAACTGGGCACAGGAGACAAAGACCGTGAGTACGGGCACCAGAGGCAGGCGCGGTCCAACCCAAAGCCACCTGGTCAGAAAGCAAGCGTTTGGAAGGAAAAGAGAAGTTCGCCCGCTCAAATCAGGTGGAAATGTTTTTTAAAAGCTGCCCACAATGACACGAACAAGTGAAAGTGGGTTCAGAACGGCACAGAGATGCCTGGGTTCTGCTGGCCACGGGGACCACAGAAGTGAGACCACTTCTTCTGGGCAGAAGTTAGCGCCTAATGAGCAACCTCGGGGAGGAGAACCCAGGGGTGCAGGGGTCTTCAGTCACTCAGTTTCAGAATCGAGAACCAGGATGACAAAGTAAATCAGGCCCAGGGCTACTTCTGTGTTAACTTTAGGAATAATCAAGATAGATTTAAATTATCTAAAATATCTGTAATATAGGAAATAATTTGAAGTGCATAAGATTATCCTTCTGGTTCCATTAAAATTAGTAATTTAATACTGCACATGTGATTTCTGATGTAAAAATACTAGAAAATTTTAAGATACATGGTGAAAGTATTGGAATGTTTAAATAAAGGAGCTAAAATTTTAGCATATTTATCTGTTAAATTTGTTAGATTCATATATTTCAAGTACTTGCAAAGAGTCTGTTTATTAAGATATGTAAACTACTTCAAGAGAAAGTAAAGTGTGTTGCATTCATGCATAGGACTTAAAAAATATAAGAGAATTTAATGTTATGAATGAGCCAATTTTTTAAAAGCCTCTTAAAATGATTATAAGAAAACGTGATAGAAGAAAAGCCTAAGAAAATTTTTAATTTGCAATTCAAAGACAGAATATTAATTTTTTTTAGAAGTCACACTAAATGGGATTTTCTGAAAGACCATGCTCTAAGTCCCAATTTACTGATCCAAACCAACAACAATGCTGCCATAACGCCCACTGACAGCTCACCCTGGCGTTTAGAAAGCATTAAAAGTAGGAATCAGTGAGCATCTGTTCCCAGAGGAGACAGAGTGACCGCATGTCCCCGCTCCCAGGTGCTGGTGGCGCTTGAGCATAACCACTTCCAGTGAACAACATCTGACCCTACCATGGCAGGACAGACAGTGGAAGGGCGGAGGACACAGCCCACACCCTGAGGGGCGATCAGCTGCATGAGGTTGGAGGGGGGAGAGTGTCATATCAGCGCATACGGCCAGAGCCTCCTGTGTTCCAGCAGCCTCACACCTCAGGCCACACGTCGCTAGCGCAGTGGCGTCCCACCCCGGGGCAGGTGTTTGCTGCAGACGAGCATCACACATCTGTCCAGTCAACAGGCAACAGGGATCGACCACTGGCAGGAGAAAGAATGAAGCTAAAAGCCAGCGCACCATGTGGCCCAAAGGCAGGACAGGAGGGGACCAGCCTCAGCCCCTTGCGCACGTGTGCGCCAGGGCCCGCCCAGGACTCGGGAGCGCCGCAAGCCCCTCACTGCACACCTCACGCGTCCCGTCTAACAAGAAGACTAGCAACGTTACATGCACACGGTCTGAGAAGATGCTCCAGGTCAGGGTTTAAGAAAAATGAAGCAGCAATTTCCTGAACATGTAACTATCATCCCAGAAATTATCTTCCAGGAAAAGGTACCTAGAAATAGCCTTGGGCAAAAAATCAAAAGAAACAACAGTAGGACTGTGAATATCAAACACAAATTTCCCCTATGCCTTTCTGCATCTAAGGATGTTTGACTCTATATAAATAACAACAAAAAGTAGATTTGATTCTATACACTTTTTATATACATACAATGATCATTTTTATTATAAAATATTAACAAAAATTTACTTAAAATTACATAAGTATACTCCAAAATAAATTATTAACAAACAAAAAGCTCAAACACATGGTGTTAGCAGTTACATCCCTCTCAGCCAGGAGAGAGGATGGGACAAATCAAGGGCACCTGCACTAGCTGTCCCATGGACCACAGGGTGCCAGGGCACCCGCACTGAGCACGCTAAGGACCCCAAACCTGGAGCCCACCCTCCTGCTGAGTTCTCATTTCCTCAAGCGAGCGGCAACAGGACAGCCCATGTGGGACGTGCCCGTCAAATGCCACAACGGCAGAAAATTGGGCCTCTCTCCTACGTGTGTCCCACCTCAGTCAGAGGCCACACACACCATTTTCTGGGGGCACAGCTCAGGGCATGGTGGTCATCCCACAGCCACCCCTCCTCACGTCCCCGTCGAGCCAAGGCCCACCCTGCCCACAGCAGCCACACCTCTAGTGAGGACCCCGCCACTCCTCACCCCATTCTTGCCCAGCCCCTCCATCACTGCCGTACCACCACCCTCTCTCCTCACTTCAGAGCACAGCAGCCTGCCCAAGTGGCTCCCGGGGCTCCCTCTCAAGAGGTCCCAGCACCCCCATGCCTTGCATCTCTCTAGGCCACACTGGAGTGCTGCCTCTCCCCCCTGCAAAGGCCCTGGATCCTTCTCCATGCCAGGCAAACTTTGCTGAGCAGGCTCTGCCTCCATCAGTCAGCACACCAGAAACTAAGCTCAGTTTTCTGAAAGAATACCTATCAGTCCTCATGAATGTCTAATGAAGATCACAATTAAGACTCACGGAGCATGTACAAGTGCCAAAGCAAACGAGAGAGCACTATCACAGCTGCTGTAGATAAAGTAGTTAAATCCAATTAGTGATTTTTAAATTATTAACTTAAACTAAACCAACTCTGTAATGCTTAAAATGGGTCTTCAGTGGTTCTGCCTGGAAAAATTCCAGGTCACCTGGAACTACTCCTAGTTTTCTAGTGTCGTTTACATTCACTTTCCATGCTAACAGGGCAGCCCATTCGCGGTCCCATGGATATCAAAACTAAGAGGCTGTGGCACCTTTAGGAGGAAAGCACCATATAAAGGCAGTATCACTGCCACACCAGGGTCCCTAAGACCATCGCTGTAGCTCAGCCACCCAGACAGCTCCGGGTAAGACCGTTCAGCAATTCTATAGCCTGAGGGGAATCTGGATGCTAACTGCTGAGTCCCAATTTATCGGTCCACTGGACAAAATCAATTTCAAGACAGACAACTAGGAGTGACAGTGGCCAGTGCTGTGGATATCGACTTCAGGACTGCTCAGTGCCACCTGCGAGAAGCCCACCTCCACATGGACACAACACCCACCCCAGGTCTGCTCGACCTTGAGGTCACTCCATCACACCCCCAGGTCTGACCCCAAGAGAGAGTGGGATGGTCTTCCAAAGCGTCACTTTGTTGGCCAGTGAGGTCAGTCAGTATTCCACTAATGGACCTCCACCACAACTTGCACATAGACCATGTCACGGTCTGACCAACATTGTTGGGCAAACCGCCAGCCTAGTTAGTGGGTCCAACCTTGGTCCATCTGGCCCACTGTCTCCAGGAGTGGGAAAAGGTCAGCCTCTGAGTGATGGCACTCAGGCTCAGCCCTACAGGACAGGGATAGCAGACCAGTAGGGAACGCAGGCCACAGTGACCGCCCCCCCCAACACACACACCCTGACTTTATCCCCAGCACCCACACATGCCCATGTGCCGTGTCTGACAACATGTAGGTACTGGACTCTGTCCTCCCACAGAAACAGGTCAGAGAAGTAGAGGCCCATGCTGCCCGGGCCTTGCGGGGCCTCCCACCAGCAGCACCCACCCATGTGGACGTCTAGCCAAGCTCCACCCAAGTCTCCTTGGCACAGATGTCTTCGAAGTCTTGAATCTGTCATTCTGCTCAGAAGCCTCTGGTGACCCCTCCCTAACACCGGCAACAGACATCAGCGGCTGACCCTCCAGTGCAGGTGAAGAAGTGGCTGCCAGCAACCGACAAGGGCCTCGATGCTGGACAAGGTCCCACAGAGAAGACAGTGGGGACATTCCCCTCATGATCACTGGAAGGGGAATCTGACTTGCAGAAAGTAAAACAGTTCAGAGGAGAAAAAGTCAGATGGTGGATTTCTTTAACAAGAAAACTGAAAACGTGATCCTGTCAGCTCCGATTCATCCCAAGGTGGCACCAAGAGCAGCAACCTCAGGGTTCAGGGCGCTGGGCAGGGTCGCTGTGGCCACCAGACTCCGGGCACCCTCCAGCCTCTTGTGTGTAAGAGACAGACCAACCTCAGCAGCCACGCAGGGCACCCAAACAAGCTCCCACAAAGCCTGGGCAGATGTGGTGGTATATGGAATAGAAACAGTCATTAACCCAAACTTTTGTAAGAAGTCATTATCAGAGAACAAGTTCAATATCTAACCACTCTTTCCAGATTCAATAGGTTTAAAATAAGGAAACTCTTCAATAGCTTTGAACAAAAACCTTTCTCATGGTTCCAATTACACACTGCAAATGCATGTCAAATATATAAGATTCCCCAGAGGGCTTCCTTTTGGCAACCCAGAGTTCTGCAATGTAATTTAAATACCCTTCTCTCTAGACAGCATGTCATTTGTCTAACACCAACCGCCTAAGGACAAAGCAGCCTCCAGGTGAGAGAAACAACTTAACCCCCAGAGTGCCACGGCCCCACTGCGGGGCCTGCACAGTGTGCACCCAGGGGGCAGGAGGGACCGGGGCCTTCCTTGCAGAGGTAGCAACCATTCATCCATAAGAGAAACCATCACACAACCAGCACAGAAGTTATGTCTTCTGGTAAGTCACAAATTACACTAATTTAAAAAGCAAACTCCTCACTGAAGGCGTTCGCTGCATGGAGCCGAGTGTCCAGGAGGCACTGGGATGATGCCTCCCAGGGATGCAGCAGGCCATGCCACCCCATCACACACTGGGGCTGCATGCAGAGCCTCACGCAGACCCAGGGAGAGCACGGTCCTCCCAGGATCAGGTGTGCACAACACCACAGACTTCCACTTCAGCCGCGAGGAGAGCCATCATAACTTCCTCAAAAATGCAGTCCAACTTGCTCAGAAAAAAAGCCAGTGCTGAATGTGCTAGGGGGCAAGAGGAAATGACAGACAGAATATCCAGTTCC